AGTACTTGTTGGCACCTGAGGAAAATAAGTCAATTTTGCAGAACTCCTAGCTTCTGCAGACTGTCCTTTCAGACCTTATCCCACATTTTTTATTTTAACTTGACAGCTAAAACAAATTTCTGTCACTGATGTATTCAACTGCAAATCATTAATGCCTACAGAGTTCAGGGGTGAGAAGCTGTCATGAGCTGGAAAACCAGTTCAGACTCCTTGCACTGTGGAGATACATGGTTGGAGTCACATAGAGAACATCTTAAGGAAGATTATTTTATCCCCTGTATTCCAGTGGCTCCTCCTCTATGCAAGCTTTGGAGGGATAAATAACTGAACTACATATTCAGTTCTTGAAATCTATTAGACAGATATTATCATTGCATCCAGTATGAAATCATATCTACAACTATACCTCATAACAGAACACAAATGAATTTTTATGCCTGTGTATATAAATATAGAAAGAAATAGACCTGATTTAATGCAAGTAGAAGCTCCAATACTAATAATGATACTTAATATAATCTTCCTTTACACAGCACTGTTCATCTTTGATGAGTAAAGTTATGAAGATCTAAGATTTATTAGATTTACATATATTAAATGTAAAGCATTTAATAGTGCTTTACATAGATGGATAAGCATCATTTTCTATTCCTAAATTCAAGGTTTTTTACTCTTTTGGTTGGTCAGCTTTGACCAAATGGAGAGCCTTTTTGGAGTGGTAGACACTTTTGCTGCAATTTTTACTGAAGAACTTATCATATCTGAAAATCAGTTCTTAAACTGGTCGCTGTGATTGAAGAACTCTCCTGATGACTAGAATAATATTATGCTTAGAGCGAAAGCCTTGAAATAGCTTCTGGAGTGCCCTGGGGCTAAGCACCTAGCAAGAGGCATCTTACTGGAAGGTTTTTCATGCAGTTACCTGGAAGTTTTGTCTGCGTTAAGACAGTAGGACTTCCCACAGAATGACTGTGGTGAAGTAGAAAATCTAATTATATAATCAATCTATTTCACCAGGGAAGCTTATTAAAGTAGAGAGCAAGTATTGTCACAAGCTCACTGTCCTATATGGTCCTGATGGCTCCATTCAAGCATTGGAACTTGATTTTATGGTATGGGACATTATGAAGATGCTTCAGTTCAAGTTGATTTGTCCCATCAAAGTTGGTCCAGACGGCAAAAATACTACCTGGCTTTGTTTGAGGTAGTCCTGTGGAGCAAACAAAACCTGGTGCTCAGTTTGCACTGGTTTACTGCTTAGTTCCATTTCCAGATGAGGACAAGCAGCTCTTGCAGGCAGCTTCACTGTCAGACTCATCAGAGCTTTCTGGCTGAACTCCATGCTGGTGTAGTCGCTCAAGAGTGGTACTGTAATGGAAATGATTCCTTCTTCTTCACTTGTAACTGCTTCTTCATGGATTTCTTCATGCCTAAAGCTTATGTCTATGTTATTGCTAGGTTCTTCTGACTGGCAAGTGTCACACTTGCTGTCTTCACCATTGGTAAAGAGGTCTAGCTTTAAAGGAGCTTTTGACTCATGCTCTATGACATAAAGGCTGATGGTATCATTGTCTGACAGGGCCTGAAGCAGCGACCTTGAAACAGGTTTCCAATTAGTCTGCAGGACAAAACAAGGAGAAAGAATAATTTTAGTTTAATACTTTTGCAAAATGCAATTTGCAATTTATGGAAATAAATAACAAAAGAATAAAGGTAGGAGGCAGGCACCCTGGTCCTGCCTATGTGATAATCTAACTCATCCATTTTATCTCATCTTCATTAGTTTCAGAAACATGAATGAAAATATTAATTTTCCTAATTCAAAGGACTGTCTACTCCTCTTCCATAGTATTTAAGCAAAGTTTTTCCTGCTTTTATGTGTGCTTGGGACAAAATGTAGGCTTCACAATGTGCTGTTCTGAGACACACAGCTTCCAATAAGTTTAAGTTATGTGTTACTATAAAAAGACAGCAGCTTGAATCAAACAGCAGCCAAACACACTTTAGCTATCACCTACTGCAAACAGTTACTCAACTTAATGCCATGTTGTGATCTAAGTATACCTTGGGTTACAAGTTTTTGCAAATTCTGGATGATTAAATGGAGAACAGTTTGTAACATCAAGCATCCTTCTCTTCCACTTAGATAGTTCTGTTAGGTTTGTCCACTTTTGCCATAATATTTTTTTTTCCTTTTTCTTTTCCCTCCTCAGTTGCTCTAAATTTGTTTTCATTGTTATACTTCTTTTGCAAGAAATAAATGTGTATTTTAAAATTTTCTTTCTTCTTACAGTTTGTGTTTTGTGAAAATGAATATGCTGTTCTTTGAAATCTCAGCAATCTCACATAAAATATCTCTATTTTTCTCTTCTAATGGGATGAGTAGACACCTTCACATGGTGAGCTTTTCTTTGTTCTGAACAAAGACCGGTGTGATATGTACCTCCATTATAATACTTATTATGAATAGTAGCCTGAACTCTGCACCTACCAAATATAAAATAAGCTCTATGTGAGCTTCTGTCACCTGAAAGAGGCACTGATGGGTGAAGAAGAAGAAGAAGCATCTTTGAAGAATCTTGTCTAAATGTGAAGAAAAAGACACTGATGTGGGGGCTGTCTGGCCATGTTAATCTTTGTCGTTCATTTTCCCGGCCTCTGTGTGCTGCCTGAATTGAGAGTCTCGAGTTCCTCCTGCTGCCCTGTACCATGGGATGTACCATTGCCTGAGACTGCAATACAGAATGCTCTGTCTGGATTTAAAGTACAAATTCTCTTGCCACCTATCTGGACTATGTATGTGTTTCTGTCAAGAGTTGCTACATTGCTCAACTAACCTGATGGGGTTCAGTATTGAAACAACCTACAAACAGAATAAATATACAGAAGATGGTAATATTTACTCCTTGCCTCTGTTTTACAGTGTGCATTTGGGAAATACCTTTCTCCGCATATAATGAACTGTTCATAATATCAGAATACTTTTAGGCAATATATCTGGTAACTGCTTTATTTTGCTGTCTCCTCACATCAAGCTTTTTCTACTTTCCCCTATCTGATATCTGTTATTTGTGTTTCTGCTGTGTTATCAATATTACAGTATTTCTCTACTAGACTTGTCTAATACAGGCTTCATTTCCTTTTATAGCTGTTTTGCTGTTGCAGGAACAGTTAAATGCATTTTAAATACATATACTTTGCTTTTAAAGTATTTGCGTCAAAGTGGCACTCTGGTTCATAAAACCTGTTTGTCCTTTCTGTAACATGCAGCCTCAAATGTATTTCACCTGCACTTCTTCACAATGGCAAATTATTCTTTGAACTCATTAGGTTATTTTGGCTACTAGTTCTTATTCATTTCTTGCTCAACTTCTATCCTGCAATTCAACTCCGTCTAAGCTTATTATTACATCAAAACAGCTTCAGGATTTGTGCTTTCCTCAAGGCAGAAATTCCACAAATGCTGAATGTACTAGAGTCATTTTTTGCCTTTGAGAAGTCGCACTTCAAGCAAGTATTGAATCTGCAGACCTTCTACTTTCTATATGCATGGTGGAAAAAAAGCAAGAGGATTAGGTGGAGCTATGTTTACTGGAGTGGTCAGTGAGGGACACCTGAATCTGATCACCGAGAACTGGAAGCTGCCTGGTGCTCGTAAGCAAATCGGTTTATTTAACTGAACTAATCAGTGAAACTGTAATCTTATAAAAGCATCACTTTTGAAACTCTTGACATTGTACAGCAGTACATTTGTACATCTGATCCTCCTTTGTTCGGTGTTATCTGGCTTTGGGAAAATGAGTATCTGATACTGCCTCTGAGATCACCACTTTTTAAATCTACATTTAGGTGTAAGAAAGGAAGAAAGCAAGCAAGGAAGTCCTGCTCTGGAATATGAAAGTTCATACTTGCTCTGTTGAAGGAAGCAATGCTGATGTTCAGCAAAACCTTTGATCACCAGCAGCCTGTCAGGGCCTTCTGAAATTTTGTTGCTGGTGATTTCATTCTGTGTCTTAGACTGGGACAGTGTCTGGCTTGTAGATACCTCCCAGCTTCTACCTGATCTTTGAGTAAATAGATGTAAGTCTGCTTCGTTTAAGCTCAGAAGCTGGCTTGAGAAACTAGGTCTACGATTGCCAACTTAATTTTAGGTCTGACAGAAAAACCAGAGATTTAAAGCAGAAAGCAGTACAAGTTCCTGCTCCACAAATGGAATGGTTGGCAGTCTGAGACAACTGAAGTGTCCTAGAGGAAGGACTTTTATTATCAGGTGACAGCAAAACCAGAGAAGAAACTTGTTCAAAAAAGGGAAGAGGTAAGGAAAGGAAGATGCAAATAAGGCCAATAAGAGGCAAAAGTTAATAACATGGTCTCCAGCAGCCTCCTTCTAACAGCTGATTTCCAGGCACTCCTTCAGTCCTGAAATTCAGATATTCTTCTAGCATATGGGAAAGCTGTAGGCAAGATTTAAACATGCTGCTGAATCTTGTGCCTGTTGCCTACTAGGTGCTCCTCAGTCAGCTTCCAGCTGACCAGTCCCTGGATTTATCTGGAGGTGGGTAAAGACTGAGAGGTGAGGAGTGGATTTCAGAAAACACCATATACTTTTTCTCTGTTGTGAGACTTATGTGGAATTAAGTCACAATGCATTACTTTGATTTTGATAATAATCAGTTCCAGTTGGTGAAAACTGACTGGATATAGAAACTGAATCTCTCTCTTCGGACTCCATCTCCCCACATTCAACTCCGCTTTGTTCTTTTAACAACCATACCTTTAAATACGATCTCTAATGTTCTCAAAAAAGTATGAGAACTTTTATTAAATGAAAAAGTGTATACAGCCTCTGCCTAAACAACAACCCTCCCTCATCCTATATTTCAAATATTATCCTAGGCTCCCAACTGTTGATATTAGACTTTTACTAAGATGAAGCATTAAAAGATTAATAACAAGAATTACTTATAAATCAGTAAAAAAGCTCTCCCCTGTGTATTTTTTCACATCATCAGAAGAGTACTTGCCATATCTTGGAGTGCACTGCTGTTTCTTGGACTTGATACACTGGGCCAGCATGATATTTTCAGTCTGTAAAAAAATATTCTAAATTTATTGTCAGGTTAAATGACTGACATTTCCTATGCATTTAAAGTAGCTACTATTTATACATAATATTTTCTTGGTATTTTCATGTCTAACAAAACAAAATGTTCTACAATAACTATCAAGCGTAACGCCAATTGAAAACTGAAGGCCAAGCTCAGCAGTCTACACTGAAATGCCGAGTTAGTGAAGATAAGCATCTTTGTTTAAGGACAAAGGAGATGTGACAGGAGCTGGTAATGTTTTCTTTTTCTATACATTTAATCATTGTATATTTCTAATTTGCTGTTATTTCCACAAAGCCTCCATCTTCCTGGAGGGCTCTTGGACATGAAAGAGGAAGTTTGGTTTAGTAAGTATTTGCTCCTGGGCTTCTACTTAGAAGTTTACTTTTCCTCAAACAAAGATATTGCTGTTTTCAGCATGTGTGCAATGACAGTGGTGGCCTGGAAGAGGATCTCCCTTGGGAGCAGAACAGGGGAGACAACACAGCTCCTGCTCTTTCCTGATTGTTTTGAGTTTGGTTGATTCTGTGAGCTGTTACACACAGTATCTCACTGTTTCACCTGACACAGACCTAAACACACCTTTACTAAAAACTCGCACCAGCTGTAGAGGAAGGGGTCTGTTAACCCAGCTGTTCAAACAGATTTCAGCTGGCTGCTTGTCCACAGACCTCTCATCAGAGCCCTTTATTTCAAGCTCCTTCCTTGCACCTGGAGGCTCAGAAGAAACAAAAATGGCAACAAGCTGCTATGCTCTCCAGCGTCCCTGGGCAACCCCCACCATGGACACCACCTCAGGCATTGTCCTCTCTGGCCCTTCCTGAGAGGAGAGGCTGTAATGGTGGCCTGCCCATCACTCCTCCAACTCTGGGATGCTGGTACTGGCCCCAGGCTGGCAGGGGACAGCTGTTATTTCCCTGTGGAGGGGTGGTAATGGGGCGGGATGGGGATTTCAAAAGGTGTTTCTGCTGAGATGACTGATGCCAATGGCATGAGTCACCCATGACTGCCTCATCACTGGTTCCTGGGGGAGCAGAGAGAGCCTGTCCCTTGGCATTTTTGAGATTCCTGCATAGGAAAAAAAACACAGCTGTGAGAGAACGTGGGAGGTTATGTAGCCCATCACCCTGCTTTAGTGTTGGCTTCAGTGTATTCTGCTTTTCAAATCAAATATAGACTTCATTAGCTGCAAGGTACTCTGCCTCTGTTTAAGCTGTGGGTTGAGGTGAAGCTTGAGGTTGTTGAGTTACCAGGTCTCCTTGCTGATCCTATGAAAGTAGGTGTTTGGCTGGCTGGTGAGCCCTTTTTTTACAAATCAAGCAGGCAATTGAGATGAGGGGGTACTTTGGACCCTTCATCTCAGTTACAGGTGGTCAGTACAACTATATCTCTAATTCCCATTTTGTAGTGCTACATTGGGCTTCTGTGTGTTGTTTTTTTTAATTTTCCGAAAATTCTTCCCTAAGGGCCCAGACAATGAAGTATGAGCTTTTGTTTAGCACAGTGAAGTTTGCTCTAGGTCAAAACTTCTGTGTAGGTCTCAGAAGTTATTGTAAAAGGGGCCTGATCAGATATAGAGCAACCTAAAGCAAAATCTGAAAAGGAAAGGGCACAGGAGACCTAATGTGGAGTGCAGCCTATTTCCCAATGGCAAGGTCAGGAGTTTAGCCTGATACATAAGCTAAAGCAAACCACATCATACTGCACAGCTTTCAAGCCACAGGTTGTACCATCTGTCTGTTCTGAAAGCAGCTGTGCTTTCAGTTTCTGAGGCTGATGTATAAAGGAGAAAAAGGGAGGATACTGTTCTAGGACATCAAAATAGCAATATGAATGGTTGTATACAACTAAGTTTATAATAAAATTAATATTAGAACTATGCAAGCCATTTTTTCTTTTTAATGGTTGTGTATGCCCCTACTATTGTACCTCAGATTAATGGGCAGGGGGGGAAGGGGGGGATATGTGTGTGTACTTTATTACTGCAAACAACAATTTATCCTAAAATAAGAGGACTTAACCCATATCTTACAGACATCTTTGCTATTCTTTCTTCTCCCTACTCATCCATCCATTACTCCTTCTCATTATGTGCTTATGTGCAAAATTTATATGGTTAACATCCCAATTACCAGTTGGGAATGAAAGAACAAAATAATAAAATTAATGCCTTTTCCATATATATATATATATATAAACACCTGTTTTCTACTGTGAGAAGTGGTCCTTGCTCTTTTCAAGGGTGTATGAGACAGGAGGTAGTCAGATAGCTGTATTAAAAGCAAGAGATCATAGATTTTTGACAAACTATTTTAATCAGCTTATAGTGGTTTATAATTGCTCTCACTGCATAAGTGAGTGGGGTGGTTTTTGTGTTGTGTGCTTTTTGAGTTGCATTGCTTTTAATGACAAAATAGTGCTATGAAAACGTGGGGTTAAGCAAATTGGAAGTGCTAACAACTTCAGCCAATACTCCCCTCTTACCTTTTAAGCACCACAGAACAAGTGAGGGATGCTAAAACCAGAATGAATACCATGCTGAAGCAAAGGCCAGTCACAAGTCCTTCAAGTTCTCCTTTATCTGATGGGAAATTGAGAGACTGAATCAGAGTTATGGTATCCAGTATAGAAAGGCTATATTGCCTCCACAAGAGAAATATTTCAAACAGAAGTCAACTCAAACTTTACACATTTTCTGTGATTCCTGTAAGTGAAATCTAGTTAAAACAGGACCTGGGATTTCTGGAGGGTCTGAGGCTTTCAAGTTTGTATTTTTAAGATATCTATATATATATGTGCTCAATTCTTAAATCCACCATCCAAAGATAAACACTTTATAATAAAAGAAATATTCCTACTCCCTATGCTATTACATGAGCTCTAGCTTGTTTAATGGTGCAGGACTCTGATGCAGGTCTGAATTCATAAGAAACTGTTTGAGTGAAAATAGCTTTTAATCTGTTTCAAGTTTTACTAGTAGGATTGTTTTTTTTTTTTTTTTTCTTTTTTGGTGAGTTCCCACCTGGTCCTGATCACAATCATATGGTCTGTATATTTGGTAGGTGCCATGCTTCACCTGTTAAGAACATTAAGACAATTTTACCTGCAGTCAGCCCTTCCTCAGCCCTTGCTGTGAACCTACATCTCCTATTGCCTGTGTTAATAGTTGCTTGAGATACTTCCTACCATCACCTTACTCCTGTGAAGGAGATAAAATGCTTGAAAGGTTAATGAAGGTTGATAAGTGCTCAGGCAGTGAGAGCAGTGCTGCTAACACAGGAACCAGAGTGGTCTGTGATGTGAAGAGTGGGTCAGGGTTGAGGTGTTCTTTACAGTTAGATAAATCAAAAGGTTCAAAATAGCACCAAGACTGTGGTCAGTACCTGATTGTGTTGCTGATACTGACAAACCATATTTGCAAAAAGGCTGCTTGCTTTTTCTTTAGCTATGCACATGCTAACAAAAATTTATTTTTTAAAAATCAAACAGCTGCTTAATTTTGCTTAAAAAGGTATTTGAAAAGCTGCAAATTGCTTTGTTGCTGAAAAAGTCTTTTATGATAAAAAAACTTCAGGTTATTCTAATGGATTAGATAACCCGTGAAATGCTGGGGAGGAGGAAAATAATAAATGTAATGTTTAAATTCAGTGTAATTACTTGAATTTTTAAAATTTTGCATTCAATTAAATCTGCATTTTTGTTATTTTCCTGAAAAATTGAATCCTATCCAAATATATGGTCAGTAGGATGCATGGAATTTCTGCATGGAAAGTCCTGCAGAAAAGCTCCAGTGGAGATACTTTAATTGCTTATGTTGACAGGAGAAAGAATTTTTTAGGGGGGAGAGGTGAGGGGGGGCCAGAAACCCTGTTGAGTTCAAGGAAGATTTAAGATTTATTTCCATTTTCTTTCTGCTTCACACTTTTGACTATTGAGTTGCTTGTGTTTATATACCTCCTTCACTTTGTACAAAAAAATCTGTAGCCGGGGGCAGCCATTTTCATACTTCTGTCTCTGAATTTCACAGGTTACTTTTCCTGTGGCTGATACCATGGCCGGTTCTTTTTTTTTTTTTGTTTTGTTTTTTTGTTTTAAATTTAGACTTCAATTAAGTGAAGCTGTGGTCAAAGCAAAAAAAGACCCTGCTGCAGTGTTAGTTTTAGTTTAACTGATAAGGTATTAAAAATGTTTGAGAGACCATGTTTAGCCAACCCTATATGATTACAATACATGAAACTTTATAAATGTAAGTGTCTTGCTCTTAGCCTATCCAGGCACCTTTGAAAAAAGCAAACTTTTGCTAGTGAACTAAAGGACCTGTTATGTAAAATATACTTAAATTATTAGAAAGCAAAATATATTTTTATTAGCTACCACCCACAATAGGAGCAATTGAAAGATACTTACTTTTTCTTTATAAAAAGAGTTAATGGCTCAAGGTTTTAACCAGTTTTACATGATTGCTCAGGATTTTGCTAAGAGCAAAGACTACTGAAGTTAACTAGTCACAGACAGAATATTTAAACTGCTGATATCTATGACAGGAATCGGCATATATATATGCATATAGCTAACATAAAAAGAAATGTTTCAGAGATGAGAAACCCTAGCTAAGTCTTCCCTGGACATTAGGTAATGAAATACAGGCACAGTTGTTATGTGATGCATCGTTTACCTGTAACAAAGGATCAAATTTTTGCATTTGCTATCAGTAAGTAGGGACTGAATAATAAATCTTGTGCATGAACACTTTGTTAGTCCTTGAAAAACAGGAAAGGGAAGAGAATAATTCCCTATATACTGCACAAAGGAAGGACTGATGCTGGGTAATGCAGATGCATACAGCTTCCACAGTACCGTATTTTGGAGTTTTGAAAGGTTGTGAAAGAGTCGCAGGTCCTTCGCCAGCATTAGTGAAACCGGAAATCTGCACACGGTAGGTGTTTTTTTCTTTCAGTCCATCAAGGTGGTAACTTGTGGTAGAAGAATTGAGAGTAACAGCTGAAATGCAAGAGGGGTTGGGACAGGAGATGATTAGTTGAACTCCGATGGCTGAGTCTGTATCAGTGTAGCTGATTGGAGAAAAGGCAGCATTTCTGTGCCTTAATCCACACCTGGAGAAAACCACGCTGTCCAGATGTTCTTTGAATGGGTACAAGATTTCTCCAAAATACGTATGTACATTTTAAATCCAGAGGTAAAAAGCATGAGCTTTTAACACACCAAGGATGTTTAGATGGTGAGTGCAAAAGGCTGTGCATGACAGGAAAATACACCCAACATGCTGAACAGTGATTTCATGTTGTCTGTAGCAGCTGACATAAGGACTAGACCCCATTATGTCCTTTACCCTCACTGCAGTAGGCAGTAGTTAGTCACCTCGATTAATACCAGTGCTATTACTCATCATTCAGTGCAGAAAAAGGGCTGTACATTCTGCTTCACCTGCTTTGTAGGGCTTTCAGCTCTACCTTTATTTTCTGATGGTGCAGTGACTTTTCCCCTGGCCAGAATAATGCAGACAACAGTGCTGTACTATGCCTTTAACAGGGCAGAAATTACTTTTCAAGTTTGCCACTGTGAATTTAAGATCTTCATAGAAGTGGAAATGCTACTGTAGCTTATAGGCTTCCTTCCCCCAAAATCTTCAATAAAATTTTTCTTCCCATCTCTAAAACAAGGCAAATGGGTGTTGTGTCACTGTTGTATTGGCTGATTAGGGCAGAGGGGAGAAAAAATAAAATATTAAGTTCAGTCCTCAACATTCCCCTTCTGTCTCCTCTCATGCTTTCTGATCAGTATTTGGGGTGGAATAGAGCCCCCTGAAGATGGTGTCAGACCTCCTCCTAATACTGTGTACTTGAAGCTTTTGTTACTTTTTATAGTCCTGTAAAGGCATAGGCCAACATGAATTATAGAACCCTTGCTATTTTCCTTTATCTGGTCTTAGGTGCTATTTGTCTTCCATAGCATGTCTTTAATTTTATTTGAAAGCCAGTATGTGCAGATTTAATGTATTATTATTTATGGAAAGAAGACTTTCCATTACGAATCAGAAGAAAAATATTTATCAAAAGAAGTATGGGGATTTTTTTTTTTTGAGAACTCAAGTGGTTTGAGATCACAACTATTCATGTGTTTCAATGTGTAGAATTTTCATCCTTTGTAGTTAAACACAAAAGCTATAAATTTAAGAAAATGTTTCCAAAAATGAAATTAATAATAGTGTATTTGAAAACAGGTAAGAAATACAAGCTGTATTCCCTGCTAATCGAGTTAAAAAAAAAATGAACATAATTTCTTAACTCCTATAGAAAGCCTTGGAGTTAAGCTTGGATGAGTTGCGGTGAAACATAGATGTATTGTGACTTACTACTTCTTGTCTTAATACCTAAGAAATACTGAAAGCATACAACTTCCTTTCAGTGTTACTAAAGAATTCTGCAGTAGTCTTAGAACCATAAGTTTTAAGGAAATACTTTCTTACCAGTATTTAATTTGAGGTAATATCCAGAAAATTCTAGGACTGTCTAAAGCATTAAAACTCTAACCAGAACCTGACCTTTCAGAATGCTCAATTCCCACAGATATGTAAGTTACTCAGTGATGTGTTCCAACAGCACTTAATAGTTTGCATTAAGTTTTTCTGTAATGGCTCTGAGCTGCTGCTTTGTTCTGAGCAATAGTGACTTACCCAGAAACTTTTTCCTTGATGAATCTATGCAGCTGATCCTGTATCCCTGGAGAAAGCCCAAACAGTCTTCAGTAGGTATTTTGGTCCACTTCACAAGCGCAGAATGCTTTGTAATACTCAGAATTGTCACATTAGCAGGACCTGTCCTAGGAGCTTAAAAATCAGATAACGATTTCAGTTCTGCATGAATACTTGTGCAACAGACATACGAGACTGAAACCTAGCTGTTTCCTAGAGAGCTCCTTGCATGATTCTAGTTGTCATAAATATCAGAAAAGGTGGAAGAGAAAGAATAATTCCCATAGAGTGAAAAACTTCATCTTAAGCAATACCAAAGTAGGTAGAAATTGTGACTGTCTCATTAAAAACACTTTTATTCCAATAGCCACAGCCATACTTATTTCAACTTGCAATATAAGACACTACAGAATTCTGATTGGAAAATCTGACTTTGGCCACAGTTAATTTGAGCTACACAGAGTAGCTACTCTGAGACCCTCTTTCCGTTATTTTGTTTGCCAGCCAAGTGAAACCACCACATTTGGTAATGTCATCTTTAGTAATAATGTTTCTGTGGAACTATCATTGAGGAACAACATTCAGGTTGTTCACTGCCAGTGGATAACTGCTAGCACCAAAGGCAATGCTAACTAGAGAATGCTGTTAAGTCACCTGGAAAAGAACTTTGTGTAGGGTTTAGTTTATTGCTGTAGATAGGAAATGAGAAGAAATATAAGAGGTGAAGTTATATAGAGGGGAGGAATACCTCCTTCAACTGAGTAAAAGTGGGTCACTCCAAAAGTCTTTTCATGTCTTGCGAAACTTTCACACTGACACACATCAGAAGCATGCATCATTATTTTGTACAACTTATATGGCTGAAAATTGTCTGGAAAAAAAATAAAGGTACATCAGAGTTTACTGAAAAGTTATAAATGATAAGGAAGGGGAGGAGAGACAACAACTTTGTAACTTTTCTGTATAGTTCTTACTTTCTGAGACACAAAGCATAGTATAAGCTTTCAGTGCTTTACACTGAGTACAAAATATGTCCATCCTTCTTCATTGTCTCTAACCATTTAATAAAAACTATTTCAAAAGCATAACAAGACATAACACAGGTTTGCTTTTAAAAGGTGTCAGTTCTGCTTATAGTCTTTCTCTGGAAGGCTTGAGCTGCTGAAGGATATCTTGGTTCAAGAACAGATATTTCCCCGTCAGCTAGCATGTTTCAAAACAAGCAAAACAACTAGATGTAATGTGGCAGTGCAGGAGTTGCAGAAAGACCAAGGAAAACAGTGCATTCATTTATAGAACTCTGAAGCTAAACGTCCTCTACTGTATATAAAATCCAGTCTTGAATGGCCTTTGTAAGAGCCACCTATATTATTTTAATCAGTATTTTTTATTACTATCCCATGAAGTGATCCCTGCCTGCAGCCCGTTGTGCCTCACTTGGTAAGTAGAATACTTAAGCAGTTGAGAACTTAGCCTTTGACAATGACAGCCATTGTGACAAAAAAAAAAAAAAGTGAGACTGTAACAGAGCAGTTTATATTAAAAGTTACGTTTACCTAAGGACAAGAGAAACTTTATTTTTTTAAAGCCAGTCGCGTACAGTTCTGCCTGGGATGTGGGCAAGGAGAGATATCACACCAGCAACAGCAGCTTAGCTGCATTTCTTGCCCAACTGTGACCAGAATAAACCTACTGAAAACTCTTTTTAAAAAACTCTGCTTTTTACCTGCGTTGGTGATGCTAAAAATTAGATGATGTCTTAGCGCTGCACAAAGGTAAGAGTTGCACTTATATGGATCTTCAGTTTGCTTTTAAAAACAGAATGAACATCCTACCTTCCCCAACCAAAAAATAACCAATAAATGAAATGGTGCTTCCATAAGTAGATGCAGTGGTTGCTTTTACCTAGCGTGAAATTTCCAGTAGCCGTGGTTACTATTTTCATGTGCATATTCTCTTTACCAGTGCCCCAGTCAACCACAAAACATTTTGTATTGTATTCTGGAGTCCAGGTGACAACTGCATTAGTTCCCTGGTGTTTGACATGGATTTGGCCAGGCAAGTCTGTGAACAGATACACCATTAGAGATCAACAAATAGGAAAGCAGTTTTCTCCTTTCTTGCTTGCTTTCTCTTTTGCTGTTGCTCAAAGATTATTCATTAAGGAGTTATTATTGCAGGTGACCAGTATAATAAGGTTTATGCTAGTTCGTCAATAAAGGAAACTTAGCATCTAGCATTTTGCAACAGTCTCTGGGAGCTCCAGTGTTAATTGCTGTTCATGACCTTTAATTTCCCAAAATCTGAAAAGGGGAAATGGCAGTTCCAAGCCTCAGGACGAGGAAGCCTGATGATGCTAAATAACCTCCTGTGAGCTGCTATTAACTGCTATACGTAGAGCAACTGTGAGATAGTGCTTACCTGGGGGAGAAGGAGAAGCGGCTGATTATGGATTATAGCTATATACTTTCGTATTTCTTATACTTTGCATTTTCTGCAAGGTTCTTAAACATTTTGACATTTTAAGAGGAAGATTATCAAACTAGGAAAGACCTTCTAACTGAAACTAATGGGCAGAAGAGCAATCTGTCATTTTGGGGTAAGAAGTGGATCTTGTGGCACATCAACAAAATTCTCCATTATGTCTCCTGTTTGAAAACCAGTATAATAAAGTCAAATTAAAGAAAATGGTTGCATTAGCTGAGGAAAAATTGTTCATACTGAGAAGGAATTTATCTTGGGAACATACTTCAGGCATGTATCTTCCCAGTAATTCATTACAATCTTTAAAAAATCTTACTTTGGAAGAGAGAGGTTTTTCTTATATTGCAATAACTATACCTCAAGATTATAACAAATGAAACTAGTTCATATTATTAGAAAAACATTGTTAAATAGTTTTATTGTTTAAATGAAAAAAATGTGTACTTAGACAGCACAAACTATTACAACTTCATTGGAATATGAAATATTGTCCTGGTTTTTAGCTGAGGCAGAGCTAAGTTATTTTTTAATAGCTAGGAGAGTGCTGTATTTTGGTTTCAGCATGGGATTTGTTATGAGAGGAACATTGATAACATACCAATGTTTTCATTTTTGTTGCTGGAAGTGAAGGACTTTGTGTTTTGTTAGTCTACAAGCCCATGATCTAGCAGGGGTGAGCTAGCCAAGTGCTAGCCAAGTGAAACCACCGTGCATGTATGTCCTATCTATTCCTCCTCCCATGTGCCAGTAGGGGCAATACTGAAATAAAGGACAGTAGCAGGGCTCTTAATAGTTACTTAGCTTGAAAACCTAGATTTGCACGTAATTCTGTGAACTTGGTTTAAACCGGTGGCATCTACTTAACTTTGAGTATACTCATAAGCCCTTTCGATAGGTAGATCTAGCACACAGTTATTTCTTTAGAAAGAAATAATAAATTTCTTTAACAAGAAGTACTAAATGGAATGTTAAATTTCTTAGTCTGTTAGTTAACTTTTATCAAAATCTTTTCTTAAGAAATAACATTGGCTCTCACTATACAAAAATTTCAGTCTAATAAATATTCAAGACAATGCTTAACTGTATCCCAAAGACTGTCAAAACATAGTCTAGAGATTGTGCATAAACCTTCTCCACCACTTGAAGGAATGAATGATAAGGTAAGCACCTGTTGCAGGGAAGTCTGGGATGATGTAGATAGCTTGTGGAGATTCTCCTGCTTTGTTATAGGCGGAAATATTAACTCTATAATAAGCCATGGAGATGTTTAGATGAACTTTTCTGTCCTTTAGAAAGATGCGATTTAATGAATCCCTGCAACTGTTGGGTATTCTTTCCACATTAACATAATATCCAAGGATGTTCTCACTTTGTGTTACCTAGTAAGAGGAAAAACATTATTATTCTATAAATGTTATTACATCCTGTGCAGAAAATCAAGAGAAATTAAATTGTATAAAAAAATATCACCTATAATGATAGGGATAAAATCATACAGTTTTAATTTTGCTATTAGGAATAAATGGAGCAAAGCATTCCCTTAAAATTAAGAGCATGCTTAAATTGAGAGGATTTAAGCACAGGATTAACTGTTTTGCTAAATTGAGATCTTAGTTGTGTGCATCCAGTCAGTAATAACAGCAATGAAGCAGCTGTAATGTTCTCTACATTTCACTGGAACATACTCCTCGTAATTAGGAACTTGGAGATTAATGAGAGGTGCTTAATTGCAATTTATGCCTCTGAGAATCTTGATCTACTAGGCTCTGTTAGGCATCTGGTCTCTTTGAGGATAAATACTAGTAATTATACTACAACTTTGGCACATGTTATATATCCATTGATAAAATTTTTTAGGTGGTGATAGTTCACCTGTTCTATTACTGTACTAATCTTCATGAGAGACTGGAAAATGAGTGCACAGAAATGGACATTACTGCAATCTAGACAGAAACTAAACTTGATACACGAAGGCCTGTGCATTCTGCAAGGATTACATCTGATATCAATCTTGTCTGTTATTTCTTGGTACAAAATTAATAGTGTGGAGATATCACAAAGCCTGGAGATCAGTTTATCTTAATTAAATAATTGGATACTTTTGGAGAAACACAGACAGGATGACATTCAGTAATTTAAAAGGCAGAGACACGTGTTGAGAGGAATTTCTGGTAAAGCTGGAAGCTCTTAAAGTGGAAATAGAAGTTTTTCCCAGGATAAGGGAGGAAGAATTGCTGCCATTATTTGAAGTTCTGGTAAAGCTGCTGGGGGAATAGTGTTATGGTTCTCTCAGCAGTCTTTGAAACTGGAAAAGGTTTCTACATAGGAGAAAAAATTCCTAGGATATGTGAAATATGATGTCTATTTGCACACGAAGAAAGTAGTAGAATCTAACTTCCTTAGCTTAGCAAAATGAGACTGGCAAAGACTAGCGCTGCTCTATCTTGTGCAGTGCTGCAGTAGGCCCTGTATTATTTGCTGCCATGAAAGCAACACATGTTCCTGGTTGGGTGTTTAGACCTGAAACCAGCTATCACCTTGTGCCTGTTGATCCAAACTGTGTAGAGATTACTCACTGAATGTTATCAAAACCAGAAGAGCTATGGCTAGCCTTTAAGCTGCTTCCTTTTTTTCAGATTGGCTTAAACAAGTATGGCAGCAGAGCCAAAGATTTTTTTTTTTTTTTTTGCTCTACATTTAACGTATTAATTACTGAGTGCACTCCTTCCCTCTGCCCCTTACATGTTTGTTGAAGCCATCTGGACTTGAATCTTGTTTGATATAATAGACTAGTGCAAAGGTTATCCAGAATGAAGGTTATACCCCTAATGCTATATTTCATATTACTTCTTTAACTAAAGCATTTAGATGGAAAATCATTTTGTCTTTTAGCTTAACATTTAAAATTGCATGTACAGTCTATTATTTTATCACAGAATGAATAATTTACTGTGCGTCTTTGCCTTCTTCTGCAGGAGATAAGGGGAAAAGGTGATCTCTCATCCTTATCAGGAGATGAGGTGTCATTTCCTCTGCTGTCTTTTCTTTGCCTTAACAAAAACAAATGGGGTAACTACAAAACTTTCCACATCTTCTGACATTTTAAAACTCTGCCAGTCTCTGTCCTTTATGCCAGGGATGTCCCCAATGGCAAACTTCCTGGGGTTTGTAGACCCTCTTTCTCTCAGAATCTAGATAGAATTAATTAGTTTCTATGCAAACACCTCCAGTAACACCTTGCTCGTTGGAATTGCCCGTAGGGCCCTTGACTATACATTCAAAACTGTTGGTTGTTCATTTCTCACCAAGAGAACCTCAGCTGGTAAAACTGACCGATCTGCTGTAGTCTATCAGCTGATAATGGGTCCTGCTGCAGCAGAGGGGGTGTCTCTGATGTGTAGGTTTGAACTTTAAATGTCATTATGGGAAGCATGCAGCTAGATGCTGTTCTTTTCAGCCAGAGGCTCTTTTTCCATCCTGATTATAATGTAATTGCACTTTTGAATTGGTAAATTGGTAGATTTACCAAGCTTTTCTAAAAGGTTTTAGTCTCTCAAGAACATGAATGCTCCTTAGGGACACGTGAAGAGCTAGGTGTGTCACTTACATGTGCTAAAGTCTTAGGAGGATCTTTCAAGGAAAACTTAATTCTAAGAGTTTGAGGCACACCCATTTTTTATGCAAGCTGCAAATAATCTGTGTTCTGGTCAATGATTTTGAGCTCAGGGATTCCTGGTTTAATAAGTTTTCAAGTTTATAAATTGGTGTAGTATTTCCTTGCTAGTTTCTGGCACCTAAAACACCACCATACAAATGCAGTGAATCCTCAAGCAAGTATACAATATTCAATGCCTTTTGCTTATACAGTGTAGCCTCAATACAATGAGAAAGTCTATTTTTTCCTATAAAATAATAAATTAATAGCACAGACAAAACAGAAGGTACACCGACTGAAAGTGAACATTACCTCCCACTTCAGAAGAACACTTCTTCTGCCTGGAGAGATTTCGGTAGTTGCATTATATGATATTCTTGGTTTGTTCATGAGTTCTGGTAAACATGGAAAAAGGTGGAAACATGCACTCATATGAATCAGTTTGATCTTTGTATTTTCAACACTATCTGACAATGCTATTTCATATGACACAAGATTTGAAAAGGCTGTTACATTTCTGTTTATTCCCATATTCTGTTTATTCTGTTTATCCCCACAACTATAGTGAAAAGGCTGTTACATTTCTGTTTATTCCCAGTAGGACACAACTATATTTCACTTACTGTGAGGGACCAAAATCTCTTTACTCCAAATGCAAACACAGTGGAGACCATCCTTGGCTATGCATCTGAGCTGAACAGTGTATGAAGACATGGCATTTAAATTCAAAATGGTGACATTGACGGCTTTACTTTCTACAGGCACCTAAAAACAAATTACATTTCATTTCTGTGTCAGCAATCAAACATAATCTTATATTAACTACTTTCTCAGCCAAGAACCAGTTTCTGACTGCAGCTCAAAGTAAGGGTTCCTATCATCAAAGAGGAATTACTACACATTTTAGCCAATGTATTCTCATTCTTTCAAGGAGCCCTCTCTTTTTCATGAACTCTTTCTGCTCAGTCAGGCCATGTAAGCAACAGTTTAGGTCTAAATATCACTTTTAAAATCAATTAGACATTATATAGACTGAAAAATGATCACTTAACTCTGAGCCTTGTTGGCATTCTGAAGAACACAATGTCAAGGTCAAATTAAATATATATATATAAAAATATCCCCTTATTCTCAAATGTTACAGTATGTCTAAATAGATCAATGTGGCTGATGAGGTAAGGAACGTGGCTGGACTGAACATGTGGTGACCTGTGCTTTAGCACCACAGAAGTAATGTGCATCTGCAGCTGATGATGGCACTGGAGCTCCTGTGACTGTACAGAGAATGGACATGAAACAAACACGCCATCTGTGTCTAAGGAAATCCCTGAGCTGAAAACTGTAGGACAAAATATGATAGCAAACTGTTGCTATGTGCTTGAATGGTTTTACAGTCTTTCCCAGACATCCACTGGTGGCTGTTACCAGAGCACAGTATCCTGCATTAAATGGACCTTTGGTCTGATCAGTTCTAGGTGTCATGATGTTTTTTGGTAGAATTCTTATTGCCGATTGAAATATTTGTTTTAGCATCTGTCTGCTCTGAAGTTTTGTTTTCTTAATTACATATATTTCCTAAAAAAACCCTCACTCAAAACCCGAAACAAAACCAACAAAACCCTACCCAACTAAATACCCCACTGTTCAGTGACCAGCTCTTCTCTTGGGTTTTCTGCAGTGCTTTCTTTTTTTACTAAAGTTAGTCACCTTTGTATACTTTTATTAATCAAAGTAGCTCAATCGCAAAAAAAACCCAAACCAAAAACCCACAATACACAATATTACAGAAAGACTCCAAGTCTACAGAACAAGAGGGCACTGCAATGGATTTAATACCCAAGTGTGAAATTACATTGCATATACATTAATCCTACTCTTGATAAACACTATTTCTCAGCTAGTTTTATACATCCTCTGTGTTTGTATGCCCACACTCCCCCTTTCCCTCCGGTCCCATCTGTAAATGTAGCTTATGTTCATATGATTGTGAAGAGTTCACAGCATCATATGGGACATGGGAGACAGTGAATACTCATGACCCGTAGTCTTTCAGTATGTGGTCATTCTCATCACCCAGTGTGGCTGTCTACCAGTCCTTCACACTACTAGCTTGAATACCCTGTCTTCAGAATCTGTAGGACATGCATTTTTACTGTTCTTAACTCTTAACTCTCTGTTCTTTCACACACTGTGTACCAAACTGTCTGCACATAGTTATCTATCTATTGCATTACTGAGTGGATCATGCTTGGGTATCTGGCTGTCCTGGGATGGTCTAGGACTTGTATGTCAATGAACAAGGTTACCCTTCCAAGACTTGCACTTCCTTTGTACTAAGACTAAACTTTTCTTACATGGGCCCCTCATGGTACTCCTTCTGAAGTGGCTAAACAAGGTGGCAGCTAGCTACAAGAGAAATGGAAAAAATATCATAGGTCTTCTGATATAAAGGGAAGAACGTGGGAGGTTCTAGTGGTACAAAAGAAGCAAACAGACTCCTAGGAGAGCAGAGGTGCCCAAGAAGTGGGAACAGTTGCCTTTTAGACAATTTTCTTCTTGGCGTCTGTTCTACCTAATAACACATATTTTTCATCCAACTACAGATAACAGAGCTTGAAAACTAGGCAATTTCAGGGACTCAGTGATAAAAATAATGTGTATGTGCATGCCTGCTGGTGAAGCCTTTGTATATGCTGGATGGCAAGGGGCAGGATAAGCAGCCTGCTGCACGTAGGTGTTAGAGAAATTATAACTGTTTTGCCACCTCTTTCTTAGTTCCTTTAGTTTTAGGTACTATCCTCTTGCTACACCATATTCTCACAGTTGCACATGATAAAATGCATCTGGAACTAATCCTGTATCACAGAGGAATTATTTCCCTTCTTGTCAAAGACGTAAATCTGGAAAACTGTTGCAAAACAAGTGTGTAATATATGAATTGTTGCCTTAAAAATCACAGCAATCTGATCTCTAATCAGTTTGAAAACTTAACAATACCAGCAAAAAGAGTGATATTTCCCATTGCTTAAAGTGTAATCAGGATTTGTATTTGTACAACATTTCTGATATCCTCTTCAGCTTTTGCATTGCTGATGGTGGTAGTGTTTCATTGATGGGTTAATGAACCAGCTGACATGCTGTTCTGTTTTTTCTGCATAAAAGTATTAATCTTTCTTTCCCAAACAGATCTGTTAGAACAAAACTAAGAGACCTTTGTGAGATTTGCCCACAAATTGTCTGCACGCTGTGCCTCCTTGCTATCCATGTTATGTGTGCTCTGCAGTAGTATCCTGCTGATGTCCTGCTGTACGTGCTATGTACTGTTGAGCTGATAGTAAGGCACCTCGTGTTCTCAAGTGATTGCCATCTGGAACTACTTACCAATGTCCACTGAGTGGTCTCTGTGAGTGCCTCTCTGTATCTCAGCTCATATGGTGTAGGAGTTGCTGGCAGGTCCCACTTTATTATCAGTTGGTTTGTGATCTGATGAGCATTTATGTTAGATGGTGTCAAGCACTTCCCTAAAATGGGAAGCATGCAGCTGTTACAAATGCAAGAGAAGTGGGAAAGCTTCAGTAATCATGTCTCTCAGGTGCAGTTTAAAATGAATAAAAGAGTCGGCACAGAATACTGAACACTAAAAGACTTTTAAAAGACTGAAAAAAAAAATTACTACATCTTTATGTTATCAACAAAATAGGGCTTTTCCTCTTGCTTTTCTTTTGTGAATGCTTCTACTGATTCCGGGAAGACCCTAAGCCTATGCTGTTCTGACTGAATCTGAAAGGCAAAATCAAAATGGGAAGAGTATCTATACTCATTAATTGTATAAAAAATTTACAGAACATCTTCCAATGTCAGCAACCGTATTTAGCTGTATAATTGTAAGTGCAAATATGTTTTTGTCTTTCCCTCTAGTAAACACAAGATGGCCAAAAGCCTCCAGAGGAGATCATAGTGATAATTTGGGTTGTGCTTGTAGTGCCCCCGACCAGTGAGAAGCACGTTTTTTTCTTGGACCATGATTACTCCGAGAAGGTGAAGTTTTGGGAAGCTCTTGAAGTTCTCAGTGATTAGATACTCTAGGGAATCTTTAAATAAACATCTAAAGGACACAGTTGATAGGATTTCTTTTTTCATGTCTCCCCTGAAGCACTGTGTAATGGGTAAATTGCCTTCAAAAAGAGTTGAATTTTGAAAAAGTTTCTCAAAATGCTAATGCTTTATAACAAGGATTCCTTAAGTTCATGGTACTGAGTCAACCTGCTCTTTAAAAAGCAATAAAGAAGTTCAGAAAACCATCAGAGAGCACAGGGTGCTGGTTAAGTACTGTACACAAGTATCACTATACATTTTCCTGGATATCACTATTTTATAGTCTAGTAAAAGATTTAAAGTAAAAATTTTCTCCCATAAAAGCTGATAGACTTCTGCTATTGGCTTCAGTAAAGATTTCATCCAAGGAAGCCAAACTGCAGCTTAGTTCTCTGAATCAGTAAAAGTAACAAGTGTATTTTGGGAGTGACAATTTTGGAAATCTTTAAGAAAATGCTACCACTGCTTCAGCTGGTCATTGCAGTAACACAACTTGTGAAGATGCTGTACCTGCTTTGCTCGGCATAACTGAGATGTTCTTTCCATTCACACAGCTGTCATGGGCGTAATTCACTACTACCCAAACAGATGCAGATCGCTTCATGTAGAGATGCTTTCGTTCTATCGTGATAGAAGATGATGATGTGTTTTGTTGAAAAAGTTTTGGTATTCTGTCCCTTCAGAGAAAAGGAAAAAGAATGAAAACCAAATATTTTTACTGGATAATAGTTGATCTTTCCTTCCATTGTCCCAGAAAGCATCATTACAGCAACTGATAGTTTTACAGGTACCTATATACGAAATTCAGCATCTTAAAATCTTGAAGGTGAGGCCCGAGCAGCTTGAAACAGCAAATGTAATTCTACTACCCTAGTAACCCTAGCAAATTTAAATGCGCAAATCCTAGCTCTGTGATGAACTTCTACATTCGCTAAACTTGGAAGGAACAGCATGATAAAACAAAGGCCATAAAATCTGATAGCCTTCTTTTGTACTTACAGTGGGATATAAAGAGCATTAGAAGGTATGAAATTAGGTTTAAAATTACTTCATAAAGTCTACCTGCCACCTACAGTAGGGGCACCTAAATTCCTTTTAAACAGTAAAATTTCCCTGAAAAAATTGCCTGAATCTAAATTACCACAAAGGTATGAAAAACTTCTTACGAGTTATATGCCTGTCTTCTGACTTTTGTTCCTGCAAAGTGTCAGTTTGAGAGAGATGTTTAAATGCCAGCTCAGTCCTCAGCCCTCTAGACTTCCTGGTGTACCTAAAGTACACAGCACAGAAACTCCAAGAAGTTTAAGGCCTTACATAGGAGGCTGTCTTGTTCTGCCTAGGTTTTTTTCCCCTGTCTCTCTCTCATTTACTCTCTGCCATATGCGGGAGAGATTTTTTTCAAAGTTAAAGCTGTGTCAGTTTATGTTCTTAAAGAAATGAGCCAGCACACTAATTGCCTTCCTACAGAGTTCAAGTATTAAGTGTGCTGATCATGACACAATAGTTAATAACTGAACAAGAACACTTGAAGGTTCTCCTATCTTCTGCTTCAGACTAGTTGTGAATCAGCCACTACTATTCCAGAGCATGATTTTGAATGCTTAGATGGAACTTCCCTGTGGGAGTGTTTTTCTTGAATCCTTTTCTTCCTGACAGCTAAATCATAAGGAGCAAGGAAAAAGAACAAATTCAATGTCAAACTGATGTTACTTGCAGAAAGGGCTAATGCTAGGAGAGCAAAAAGCCCTTTCACATGTTTTTGTTTTCCTTTTAACCCAATAAAAATTGAGAAAATAAGTTTTTCTTCTAGACCATGGGGCTGAAGCCTAGGAAATTGAGGTTCAAGTCCTTAGTCTGGATTGGGAAAATCAGCACCTCTATGACATAATTGCCTTCCTCCTCCCTGACTCATCTCCTCTTTCACTCTTTTTTTGCCATGTCTATTCATAACATCAACCCTGCAGCCCAGGAACAGCACAGTCTGATTATGGCTGAGGACTCTTTAAGAGTAACTGGCTTACAAATACTTCAGCTGATAGCATCTCTACAAAGAAGCAGAACTGTTTCACAGGTACTTCTCCCTTTCCAAGAAACTGGGAGACCCAAGAGGCAAGACAGCAAATCTGTTTGGTACCAAAAGGGGTTTGGTACTTACTGCAAGTGGGTACCTGCTGCTGCTTCCAATGGGAAAATAGTGAAGGTAATGGGGGGAGTAACCTTTGCTCCTCTGCAATGTACAGATCACCCTGGGGATTTTCGCAGTGTAGTGACATTCCCTTGGCTTTAGGAGATGCTCCTAACCACAGCTCTTTTTTTAATGTGGACTGGTGGGTTATGTGGCAAATTAATCATAGAATGGTTTGAGTTGGAAGGGACAATTAAAGACCACCAAGTCCAACCCCGCTGCAGTGAGCAGGGACATCTTCAACTAGGTCAGGTTGCTCAGAGCCCCAAAGTCCAACCTGACCTTGAATATTTCCAGGGATAGGGCATCTACTGCCTCTCTGGCCAACCTGTTCCAGTGTCTCACCACCCTCATTGTAAAAACTTTCTTCCTTATACCTGGTCTGAATCTCCCCTCTTTTAGTTTAAAACCATTACCCCTTGTCCTATTGCAAATTCTGAGTATCAGTACCCAGTGTACCCCATGATACAGTCTCATGGCAAAGATCACGTCTTCTAATCTCACTTCTCTTTTTCTAAACATACCCTTAATCTCTTACTCTTAATTCAAAGATGTAGATACAAAATGACAAAAATCCATTTTGTAATGCAGGTACTGAGACAGAAATCTGCCTTTTTTTTTTCTTTTTTTTTTTTTTTTTAACAAACCAATAGGCAGATATTGATTTAATCTGCCTATCTACATTTTACTCAGCTTCTTTGTTTTAGCTTTCTCAAAAAGGGCACAACTGAAAATCCCCATATCTTAATGTAATCAGTTTAAGATTAACTCTACAAGTTCATTCCATCTCTTAAACCAATACTCGATAATTCAGAATTGCAAAAAAATACTTAAAGATCTATTTTTCTTGTGTGCCACATCTGACATCTCCTTGCATGCATGGTATAACATATAGTGTATAGTAAAAACCAGTTTAGTGTCTATTATTTTTTTTACTTTGAATGCATTAGTGTTTAATATTCAATGCAAGTTGATAGATGCAAATAAAAGTAGTTGATTAAGGTGATCTCTGGCAATAGTGTATAAAACAGTGTGTTGGAGGCATGGAAAGATATATGACTCTCTTTATTGAGTTTGCATGACAAGGTTTTGGTAGTGGTGGGGGCGCTGCATGAGTAGCTTCTGTGAGAAGCTACCAGAAGCTTCCCCCACATCTGACAGAACCAATATCGGCCAGATTCAAGACGGACCCACCGATGGCCAAGGCTGAGCCCATCAGCAATGGCAGAAGTGCCTCTGTGATAACATATTTAAGAAGGGGAAGAAGACTGTGCAGTTGCAGCCAGAGAGAGAAGTGAGAATTTGTGAGAGAAACAACTCTGCAGACACCAGGGTCAGGGAAGAAAGAGAGGGAGGAGGTGCTTCAGGCACCAGAGCAGAGATTCCTCCGCAGCCCATGGTGAAGATCACAGTAAAACAGGCTGTCTCCTTGCAGCCCGTGGAGGTCCATGATGGAGCAGATATCCACCTGCAGCCTGTGAAAGACCCCACACTGGAGCATATGGATGCCCAAAGAGACTGTGACCCCATGGGAAGCCTGCATTGGAGCACACTCCTGGCAGGACCTGTGACCCCATAGAAAGAGGAGCCCACAGTGGACCAGGTTTTCTACCAGGACTTGTGACCTCGTGGGGGACCCACGCTGGAGCAGTCTGTTCATGAAAGGCTGCACCCTGCGGAAGGGACTCATGCTGGAACAGTTTGTGAAGAACTGCAACCTGTGGGAAAGACCCATGTTGGAGAAGTTTGTGGAGGACTATCTCCTGTGGGAGGGACCCTGTGCTGGAAGAGTGTGAGGAGTTTTCCCCCTGAAGAGAAAGGAGCAGCAGAGACTACGTGTAATGAACTGACTGCAACCCCCATTCCCTGTCCCCCTGTGGCTCTGCAGGGTAGGAGGCAGAGCAATCAGGAGTGAAGTTGAGCTCAAGAAGAAATATTTATCATTATCCTACTCTGATTTAATTGGTAATAAATTAAATTATTTTTTTCCCAAGTCAAGTATGTTTTGCCCATGAGGGTAACTGGTGAGTGATCTCCCTGTCTTTATCTCAACCCACAAGCCTTTCATTATATTTTCTCTCCCCTGTCCAGCTGAGGAGGGGAGTGATAGAGTGGCTTGGTGGGCACCTGACATCCAGCCAGGGTCAACCTGCTGCACTCTTGCCAAATCAATACATATTGATGAGATGTGAAGAAAGATTTTGACCAGTATTGTGTAACAACCTACAATGTGATGAAATATGTTGGACTAAAACTGGCAGGTATCAGGAATCATGCTGCACAGCAATGACAGCTTTTTATTTTCTGAAATTACTTTTAGACTTACCATTTTAAGAATATAGTATAATTAATCATATGTGAAGTGCTGGGCACAGGCAGCCAGGTACAGGTTAGGTCCTCACTTAATTCTTTGTAGCATACCAATTCATTGTCCCAATCTGCAAGATGAAAACAAATGGACTGGAAAAGACCCATCACAGGCAACTGTTTACCATTAACTGGTGTAAGGTGACTATGAGAAGCAAAACAAAAGACAAAACAAGCCTTTTGTGCAGTAAAATAAGAACTAGTTGTATGAGTCCTTATGCCATGTTTACTCGTAAGGCAAGTTGTTCACTAGTGTTTAGAACAAGGGACAAAGACATTTAGAAAGATTAAACCTCACCAGACGTAATGTTCCCAAGTAAAAACTAGTTTTCCCACATGAAAGTAGAAAAGGATAATTCTTCTTGTGTTTTATTATGTGATTACTAGCTGTTATGTACCCAACAACATAGTGCTGAAATGCTTACTATGGTGTTTCCTACAGCTTTGGTATTGTTGTACCTTTGAACTGTGTTTCTCTCCTATAATAGTGACATCTTGCTTGCTGCTTGCCCCTGCACTTATTTAAAGCTTAATTATTTTTTTTTTCAATTCTGAATGAATTATCCCTTGAATTTCTGCAAAATCTATTGCATTCTTTGGCACAGAAATTGCAGAAGTAACTTGAATATATTCAAGGAAGGAAGCATTACTAGCTTTTGGTCCTCTGCTTCAAGGAAACCTATTGCAAGGTAATCTTAAACCAGATGACAGAATGACTGTGAACGTCTGCCCTAAGAGGCCTTGGATTTTTATCTCCCAGCTCTGCTCTGGTCTCACACCATTCCTATCTGACTGAGTGCCTGTCCTAGCACTGTGTTTCTGGAAGTGCTCAATCGTTTGCTGAAATCTGTAAAAACCATTTGCTTCTGGTGGGTTTCTCTGGATCTGGGGAGCAAGCTCCTTCCCTGAGGGAGTCGCTGTGGTTTGGGAATCCTAGAGAGCCAGGAGCATCTGCCTTGCACAGGAGGGAGGCACTCTTCACCCACAGGATTATAAATTAGAGTTGGCAACAGCTCTGCCTGGAGCAGCTTATTGACTCTTAAACACATTTTTGACATTTAAACACATTATAGACATTTTTGAAAGTATTAGCCAGCACTGACTGAATGCACCCTTGTGAAACATCTTAGAAATTGATGCCATGCAACTGAGTTGGGGAAAGAAGGGAGAGGGGGACTGCATTTTAGTGAGCAACACCAGGGGCCAATGTGACATTTCCATAATTTCCAACTGGCAAGAATTACTGTGGAGTTCCTTGCAAAGCATTATGCATTGCAGTGTAGGGCTAATTACCAGAAGTAGAACTGATTGACTAGACTCCAAAATTACTCCAAAACCATCAGTCTTCTCTGTCTGGAGTTCAGAATAATGCACTAATGCTGAAGCAAAAAAATATGCAGTTTATACCACTAGCTTCATAACGATCACATTATAAAGCAAGAGGAGCATAAGTTTATCTGCAAAATGACTCATGCTTAATTTTTGGAAAGAAAAATATGGGGGTTTTTTGCAACTGAATATTTTTCAGATGAAAGGAAATTAACCTGATGACATTCTTAAAGGAACTTAGTCTCTAGCATTTAATCTTATTTCTGTATTTTAAAAATCTCTTATCAGAAACAGTAGTGATAAAATATGACTGTTCTCCTTTTGCTTTGTGTCTCACTGTCTGAACTACTAGTTCAGAAGAATCAGCTATGATGTCTCAAAGTACCACCCACACTTTTAAAAAAGACCCAGATTTTTTTTTTTTTTTTTCTTCAGAAAAGTAGATAAAGTTCTCAACAGGTACAGGATACTTAAGGTGATAAAAATTATTTTTTCCTGATTAGTAGAGTCACATGTTAGATTTATACCTGTTAGATTTAATGACTTGCCAACAGGCTTATGCATCTTGAATATGAAATGTTTTGCTATTTGACAAGTAAATCCGCATTATCTCTGGAGTTGGTGTTACAGCATGGTTGTGGTATCTCAAAACCTAGGTTATGAGACAAAAGATCAGTCCTCCTCTTTTCCTTATTCAGAGCCATTTCTTCCTACAACCTGAGTTACAGATTATCCTCGTTATTCTATTCATCATTCAGATGGCAGCTGTATATTTAAGTTAAAAACTGATTTGGACCAAAAAGTGCGTCAGATGAGTGTAGCTCAGTCTTTAATACCCTCACCTTATGACAATTCCTTTCTCCTACTAAAAGAAATGTGCTTTTCTAACAAAGTTATGCTGCATCAGTTTAGGTGTGTGCAGCTTCCTTTCAGGAAGGAGGAAATCACGCCTTCCATGTTTCTACAGCAATGTGAATAATTATTAAATTCTTTGCTTTCCTAGTCTGACCACCAAACCAAATTTGGCCACCTCACCCAGGGACGCGTTGAGCTAGCAACTGGGCAAAGCAGCAACTGCTTTCACATTCTCCTCCTCTTTTACTTTGAATTAAGCTTTTCATTTACTTGATGTTTCCTTTTGTTGTTGTTTTAAAAAAACAGCTGAAAACAAAACCTTTTTCTAACTGCTGTACCACTTCACGTCAATATATTTGTAACATACTGCTCCTGAAACTATTTGAAATAATAGCTTTGGAGAGAGTGACAGGAAAGAAACATCTTCACTCTTTTACTAAATTTCTATTAACTTACTCCCTAAGTAATTTATATTAACTGAAATCCAAGTGGTGACCATGGTGTTGCAGACCTGTCTCTGCTTATAGAAGAACAAGGGGTTGTATTGTTCCTCATGTTCCCAGGCTTTCTCTAAAATATTATAGTATTACAACAGATTAAGAAAAAATAGTAGATTCTGTATGTGGAAATAATGTATTAGTTTAATTAACATCGTAATGCACATCTCTGCTGCCAATACACTGAAGTTCTGTTAATTTCTCAGGGTGAACACAATGGATGTTACACACTGGTTTGTTTTGTTTTTTTTTTTCACTTGTCCTATTTGTGGGTATTAATGTCCAAATGCACATCCAATTTTATCCTAGTGCTTTTTTTTTTTACTATACTGCTTCCCCTTAAAGAACATGCATGGTATTGGTTCCTCCCAGCCCTGCAATAGTACTAGTCCTGTGCCATGACTGTGCTCCAAGAGCTATGCAAAGAAAGAAAAAAAAAAGTATCTGTTCTAAAGACACCACAATCCAGTTTCTTCTTTTTTTTAAAAAAAAAAAAAGCTAAGTTTTTTTTCACTCTTGAACTTTTTGTCTTTCTTCTTGTATATCTGGTGTTCTCAGTAATACTTCAGTAGAATTTAATCTGATTGTCTAATAGCAAGGACTCAAAAATTATCCATGGCTAATTTCAAAAAATATAGTCCCCCTGATGATGTCTTATCCAGTGCCACCATGTACTTGAAAACCTGTCTTCTCTGCTGTGGCTCTTAGCAAGCAGGATATTTCTTCCTACAATAAATTCAGTATGAAGTACACCAGATGACAAGCAGCTGCTGTGATAGTGCTACTGAAATGCACTCGTCCTTTTTGCCATTAAGAGTAATTTATTAGTTAAATGTAAAGCATAAATAATTGTCAGACATAAACATTACAGATTTTGTTGTCTTTTGAAATCACAGTAACTTGTCCAGAGACTACACACTAGACAGGATTTATTCCCAGCTGGCTGGTTACCTCTACATTGCCATGGATGCTCTCCTATCACACAGGCACATCACTCTGTGCTGTCTGGACTGCTTTTTCTCTTCAGAAATCTGCAGACATTTCTTCTCAGGTAGAATCTCTCTTGCCTGGCACCTGCAGGCAGTGCGGGTTGGTCCCGCAGCTCTGCGGGGTGTGGGGCCAGGAAGCCTGCGGTGGTGTTTGGCACCAAGAGCATTTCGGCTGGCAGGTTTCCTTCCACAATTACGTTTGTCCTTGCAACTAAGTAAGTATTATGTGAGAATTAAGTACCCACCTGGGAGCTGCTGGCAAAATGGAAAAGCCCAGTTTATGCAGTTGCAGGAATCTGGGGAATAAAAAGGAATTGTTTAACAAGGCAACTGTAAAAAAAATCAGAAAAAATCTCACTGACTGTTGTTTCTCCTACCCACAGAATTTAATGCAGTCTTGATTTTGGCCATACAGCCTTGCCTTTGAATAATCTTAAGAATTTTTATTATTTCTAAACAGTAGGAAGTTATGCCACAATTGAAAACTTACCTGTTGCAAATAAAAAGATAGCTGCGAGCAGAGAGTTCTTCATCTTCACTGTAAAGAAGCATAATGATTACCATCAACATTACACTATCTTCAGTCTATTTTTCACACTTCTTCAAAATTCCTATTCATTTCACTACCTATACTGTTACTGGCTGAACACAAGTAACAGGTTTATTAATGACAACGTGAAGGACACTTGAGCTCTAAGTTATACTTAGGAAATTCTAACAACCCTTCTGAAAACCAGAAAGTTTCCCCCTTTACGTTTGTAGGAAGTCACAGTGAGATTCTTAATGGTGTATGAGATATCAGCAGTGCAAACCAAATTAAGCTTCTCTAAGTACTTTTGACTCCTTTGAAAATCAGAGAATCACAGAATGGTAGGGGTTGGAAGGGACCTCTGGAGATCATCTAGTCCAACCCCCCCGCCCA